GTTGGGACAGTTCACGGCAGATGACTTCACAGGCAGCCTCTCTTAAGACCAAGACCGCGTAAGCCCGCCTGCCCCCCTGACAATAGCTTCAGAATAGCCACGTTTCAAGAATTGTTTGCCTCCTAGAACAGTATTCTCCAACTAAAGAGAATATAAGGTAGATTTTCACGTCAGCAATCACGTTCGGTTCCAACACAACTGTCTAACCACTTTCTATTGTCCCTTTTTTCTTTTTATATAACATCCGATCTAGTCCTCAGAATAGCTTCATTTTCTTTCAACATCGTTACGGGGAGGGGGGCCAATTATACTTGCTTCTATTCCTTTCCTTTTCTAAAACGTCAAGGACGTAGTTGAAATCGTGAGTTTTAACGCGCAAAAGGGGAGGTCTCCCAACAATGTATGGCCAGGATTGTAGATTTTGAAGCAAAAATGGCTAGTTCACACAATGGGAATTGTCCCCGCGACTTGTTTGAGGGACTATTCGCACGGACTTGTCCCTTCGTGTGTGCCGACCTGAAGGTTAAGAAAACTGCTGTGACGTAAGAAACTGTAAGGTTTCGGCGAAACCGGGAAATTTGTATATTTTAACGTCAACAGCCCTGGATCCTGGCTGAGAACAGGAAAAATTCTAAAATTATAGAACACGTAAATATACTGTGTCGCTTATATTATCCACTCAGTGATGTTATTACCTATTACTCTTGCAACTACAATGTCCACTTACAACAGTGCATGATTTTTGATCGTACTATAGCATGCAACTACAAGGGGTCAAGTGCCACGATACAGAAGCTTTCCTTGCAAAATCAACTTGCGGATTTTAATTACTGGCAAAGGTAGAGGTCAACAGAAAGTCATATGACTTGCACGCTAGTGCGTGTACAGCGGTTATTTTCGGTCGAGGGAAAATTATTATTCAAAAGCAGTGACTCATTCTCACCCACGTGATTTCGGGGAAAACCCGTCAATGATTACAAAACTCGGCTTTTGTGACATTTCTCAACTTCAGTTTTACGAGGCTTCATCATGACCGCTAGCCTTGTCGTCGCTGTCCTAGCTATCTTGTTGCTTTCAATGCTGTGGATTTACAAAAAAATAATAGAGGTGAGTAGAACTTGTTTGCATTCGTCAAGGTTTTTCCATTTAGTAGCTCTGCAGCCTGCATGCGAGCAAGTCGAGCAAGCAGTCTTGGCAGTTCTTAGATTACACATTCTGCCGCCTTGTGTGATTCAAGGTCATCATAAATCTTGTTGTCTTTGCCTTTCATTAACCTGCTGTCATAAAAACAAATTAAGCGGCAAGTGCTTTGAAAACATGGAACAACTAAACTTTGCAGAAATAGTTAGCTAGAGAACTCGTCTTGGTTTGTTAACGTTTTCCGGTTTCTACAGCGATCGGACGCAAGCAATCTCGTACCCAAAGACTGACCTTTTGAAATCTTTTCTTTCAGTTGTACTTCTGGAAAAATGATTCCGGTGAATTAATTAAAGGAACTGGATTAAAAACGTTTTCTCCGACACTCATAGCGATGAAAGATGAAAACTTGAAGAAATTTGGAATGTACTTGCTACGATTTTTGCCCGGTCCTCCAAAACTGTAAGTAAAATTAACTAAGTCATATTTTTCTGTTAGAATTTTCACTTTAATACTATGCACGTAGATGTTTTACGGGAAAAAAAAAATTGTCAAGTAACAATCTTCACAGGGTGACAGCGCAAACGTGACCCGCGCACTCTCGTAAAACGCGAAAAATCTCGAGCAGTGTAGTCGCGAGTCCCGAAAATCGCGTGGGCTGGAGAATTGTTCTCGCGCATTCCGTGTTCCTTCCACTTACGTTGGAGAGAAAAGGAGAGACTTCTCGTAATCTTAGGAAAGTTAAGATGTAACCTGTACATTTTTTCTATCCCTCTGTTGTTGAAAATCCAGGCTACTGACTGACGGTAAGTTCGTGGTTTCTAAACGGACTTTATATCAAAAATGGGATCAGCTTTCCGTTTGCGAGAACTTTCAGAAATAAATAAAACAAAATTGTTGTCGTTTGATAAATCTGTTAGTGAGTTATGCTGAAACAATGAATGAGTTGCCAGTAATCGGATACCCGTGTTTGCGCGAAGAACTCTGGGATCGTCAGGGG